AACATGATGAAGCTCGCCAACTGAGGGCTCAGACGCTTGAAGAGAGACGCCGGCATGCTGTTCAAGACGCCAAAGACAGCATGGAAGTGGACTCCAGCGTAGGCCAGGCGCTCAGGTTTCGACACCCGGAAGAACGCGGCGTTGAAGTCTTCCTGGTCGAGACACTTGACACCCTTTCCGAGGGCATAGTTCTGGATGACATCCTTGGTGGCCGCCTGTAGCGCAGGGTTGATGACGAAGGGTGTCTCGGTCTGCGCGAACCCTTCAAAGCGCTGCAGGAGGTCGGCGAGCGTCTCGTCTATGACGGGCGCCAGTCGGCGGACGTTTTGCTGGGAGAAGAAGCGGCCCATGGCGGGCCCGGCGCGGCCGGTGGAGGTCGTGGGGTCCCGTGGAGATGGAGGCATAGTGCGTCTGGAAGAAGTTGAGGACGGTCCAGGCCTTGTCGCGACGGTGGGACGAGGACTGCGGGGCGTAGAGCTGGTCGACGAAGGCTGGATCGTTGACGTGCAGGACATCAGGCATGACCCTCACGACGGGTCCGTATCTCGATGCATCTCCTCGATGACAAAGGTGTACTGGCCGCCGCGAACAATGTCATGATAGGCAGCATACCATGTGGTCAGAGCTGGTGGGTGTTTGTCAATGGCTGCAGTCTGCGGATGTTCGTTGACACGTACCTGCAATCGTTGGACCGGGAAACTTGCTCAATGGGCTGAAATAGACGCGACGTATGGCCACGACTGCGCAGTAGAGGACGACGAGTCCTGAGAGCAAAAGGTAACTCACCATCCTGCATCAGTGTCCAGGCACTCTCTGCGGATAATGGACAACGCCCAGGCATCGCGAAGCGGAGAGGCCTCGATTTATGGACGGCATTCTGAATCCTTCAGCATGTCTGCCACTGAAAGGAGTCCGAGTGGCCCAATGACGATGTCTCAATTATAGCAATTTCAATCTCTCGGAGGCTGCTCGAACATGCTTTCAAGCCGGGCGTTTGGTTGAGGGTGCGTCGACCATGTGGGAAAGACGCTAAAAAGTGACGTAAGCAACATCCCCGCGATGCTTGTCCGAGGGAAGGGGTACCGATGGCCACCACCATAGGTAGTTACAGATAGGTCCGATTTTACAGAAGGAACCTACTGCAGACAAGGTTGTTGAGGCAGATTTTCCCGCCTCTTCATCATGGACAGTAATGGGCTTCGAATAGGTTGTGTTTGGGTGTTCTGATGGGAGATGTCTTGCAGCAGTGTCGACGCTATGCTCCCTCCTGCCTGTGAATATAGGAATTTCGTGGGCTCCAGCTTTTCATATAATGGCCCGATGAAAGAAGACAAGAAAAATGACCCCACATGAGCCACATGAGGCACGAAAGCTCATCTTGTGCGTAGGTAATTGCTGGTAGCTCTCTGGCTTTTTGTGAGGCCGTTGATTATCTATCATGGGTCCTCAGCCAATGAGGCGAAGAAAAATAACCACAAAAACACTGCCATATGTGTAGAACGAGCAGGGTAAGACGAGGCGATAGCGAGAAGATCGAGGACGTGAGCATCATCTGGATCACAGAATTCGACTGTTCTCGAGCCTGCATCATTGGCCGAGGCTCGCGCGTGGCTGATGCAGAGACCTTGGTTGTGTCGAGTTGCTGGACGTGTGTCGAGGGTGACGTCAAGGCCGCACAACGCGACGAGTGGGCCAATGACGTGCCCAGCACCCATCCCCAGCCAGCTCACCACCCTGTTTTCCAACTTCACGACGACAGGATCCCGGTGAGATCATACGGGGAGCAGGCATCTTTAAGGAAGATGGGAGCCCGGGAGGCTGCATCATGTTGCTTCTCGTTCTCTTTGGAAGAACTGCTACTTTTTTTTTTGTTCGACAACCATCACGTCGCTTCCTCCATCCCCGCTACATCGACCCTTCTCGAGCTCTAATCCGAGCTCGGTACCTACCTTCGAACGCAGAGGACCCCTAAACCCCTCTAAAGACCCCTGAAGCTTCTTTCCCCCCACCAACACCAAACAAAATCCACACCTGGCCCTCACAACCGCCATCTTGTCCAAGCCCAAACACAATCTACCACGCAACCGCGATGAGCCATCGAGGCCACGACCCTCCTGTGGCGGGCCCTCTGTGATTCAACCCCGAAAAAGTCCCTCAAGAAGTACCTCGGCGACGACGCCATCCTCGTTCAGGTCGACGGCACCCTCGTCTCCAAGGACACGGAGCCCTCGCTCGAGGAGTACCTCGAGGACATGGAGCCCTGGACCGCCTACCGCATGCAGGACGCCGACGACGCCGACTTTGTCGAGATTGACATGATGTCCACGTCGCTGACCTACCGCGTCACCGTCTGGCAGCAGATTGGCGACGCCAAGGACCGCATGAAGCCCACCGAGGCCATCTGCACCGACGTCTGGCGCCAGAACGCCGGCGGCGACTGGACCTGCTGCGTCCACCACATGGCGCCTGCCTAAGAGAACCCCGAGAAAGCTTGTCTTCGTTTTCACCAGTATTTTTTTGGCTTTGGGGGGTTTTGTATCATTAGTTTCACGAGACATGACGAGCGAGGGAAGGAAGGCTTCGTGGATGTCGTGGAGCATTTGGGTTTCGGGAGTTGGATTTAGGGACTGAAATGAACCCTTTTTTTGATCCCTTCATTTAATGTCTCGTTTTTGGGGGGGGTTTTTTTTTCTCCCTTGTCGCCATCTTACCTCTTGTCTCTCTCTGATACTCATCACGCTCGTCCTGCGCCGTGGAGGCGACCAACGATCCGACAACTCTATGCCCTCTTCCGACTCTTCCACTGCCCTGCTTGACTGGCGGCTGCTCGAGTCGTACTCGACCGTGACCTCCCGCGTCCTCGTAATGCCCCCTTGCTGCTCCAATTCTCGGGGTAGTATGCTCCGGTCGCTGCTGGCATCGCCCTTGCTCAACGCGAACCCGTCGTCGTCGACTGTGTTGACAGCGTTGCTCGGCGCTTGAAACTTGCTCAACGTATCGGACTTGATGTACTGTCCGGAGGGATACGCAGAGGGACCGCGACCGCTGCGCACGTTCCGAACGAGAACACGGAGAACCGGGAATCGAAGCCGCGATGATGGTCGCATTGGGTTCGGCTTCGGCCCAGATCCAGAAGACGGCGAGTTTCCATGTGTCTGTCGACCCGTCAGCAACATCCTACACGGACACGAGGGGGGGGGGGGGTTGACATACAGTCTTCAACATTTGTAAATTTAATGATGAGCACACTGTAGGCGCCCTTCATGATACCCATGACGCCAGCACTAAGAAAAGGTCAGCTTTCCTCGTCACAGGAAGTACACACGGGCGTATAGGAAGTGAGACGTACAGCACCCCTATGCTCATGGCAACGGCAACGCCAATCTTCTCGTGTTTCCTCATCTGCAGCCCCATGACAATCTTCCACGGCAGAAGGGCGAGCACAAAGTCCGAAAGAGCAGAATAGACTAAACACAGCGTCAGCCATAAGCACTTCGGCTTTCGCACAGGCCAGTCATGACGTACAGCCACCGAATATGCCCAAGGTAATGGCCTCGTGTGCCTCCCAACAGGTGCCCGGAAGATGCGGTGTCGTGTCTCCTGGCACCCGCGGGCAGATCGCTCTCCAGGTCAAGATGATGTGCACCAAGAACTGAATATTCATGCTCACGACGAGAAACCAGATCAGGTAGATCTGCCACCCGGTTGCGATCCGCAGCAGCGTCACAGCAAACGACGTCTTTGTCAGCGCCAACGCGAGCTTGTGCGTGTTATCGGCGCAGTAAAGAACCGTGCTCATCGTTGGCGTCATGATCAGCGTCTTGCCGAAGCCCAGGTGCACGAGCCTGCTCAGCAGCCCGGAGGAGACGACGAGGAACGCCCAGCCGGCGAGGAGGAGGTAGTCGTCGACCCAGACCATCCATCGCACGCGGACGGCCTTGCAGTAGATTCGCAGGCCCAAGAATATGGTCGAGACGGCGAGCATGGGCCATATGGCGGCGTTAACGACTGTCTCTGCGTTGCAATGGTGTGTCGACGTGGCTATCTGGGTGGTATCGTCCCGGGAGAAAATGGGGAACATGGTCGCTAGGGAAAGAGTCGTCAAGACGGAACGCCAGACTTGATTTGATATCTATCGGGCGTTCTGTCTTGAGACATGAAGAGGGGATCGTCGGGCCTTTACAGTCGGCAGTCGGTCGAGCTCGGTGGCTTAACTACTGGTCCTGTTGGCTTGTGAGCTGAACATGCTGACAGCAGCGGCAAGCCCTCACTGCATTTCACAGCTCAATGACTAGAATCCTTGTTCGGACGGTCGGAACGACATGGGAAAGTAATTAGGCGACATCGGACGATGCTACGCGCCCCTGAACCTTCGCCATTCTCTGACAAAGGTACATTGAGTGCCTCATGCACAATGTTAGGGGGAGCAGCTGCCTGTCCTGTACCTACCCCGAGCAAAGTGAAGCTTCTGTATCAATCTTGGGCTGGGTGGTATTTCAACACGACTTGAATGAGATATTTTCGAGCTCTCGGTAGCATCACAGTAGGAAGCTAGCATGACTCTTGCAGGTTTTGAGGTCAGTCGGCAAAAACGGCAAGTCTTTGGGTTGAAGTTGTTCTGGCTGATCTAGAGCCCTTTCTTCAGACATTATCGAGCATGGACCAAAGTTTATATCCTAACGATAGCCTAATTCAAAGTTCGTCACACAGCGTGTAATCCCCTTCAGTGGCGAGAACGTCTTGCGTGAGAGAGACTAAGCTCTTCCCAGCTTTTTGCTTATGTGCCTTATGCCCTGTAGGGTCACCTCGAAGGGCTAGGCTTCCTGCCACGACTCGCGGTGCCAGAAGAGGGAGTAGTTCGCTTCAGCGTGAGCCCTGCTTCAATAGATCTCTTCTTCACGACGTTCTATTCTCATGCACGTCGGATTACTCTTCAGGGGGGAAGCAATCAACTTGAGCCAGAACCTTGCATGAGAACCAGGATTGTGCAGGCGGCTGCATATACCCAGACCCGCGGGTCCAATCATAGGTCCATGAAGTTGACGTTACCAACACGAGCAATAATCATCAAATAGCGAAACCGAGAAACCCAGCAAGCGAAGGGTTCACACTACCTGACTTGGCAGCTGTGGCTTGTCGTCCAATTCAGGATCGAAACATTTGCATGCCGAAATCGATAGTTCGACGTGTATTCCGCGGAAGCCAAACTGGAACACATACGGAGGTTCAGGAGCATCAATATATCCTCATGCGATGCCGCTGCGATCTGACCTCTGATCTGCATTTCGACTCCACGTGTGCGTGTACCGTTCTCAGCCTCCCGACCCGCCACGGCCATGCTCACCACCCACCTCTTCGTTGCCGCTGCCGCTGTGGCAATCGGCGCCGCCGAAGCCTCGGCCGTTGATCTGCATCTTCGCCAGACGTCCGAATTCACTATTCCATCTACTGGCTACACAAGTGTGAGTTCTAAGCTGCGGGCGGAGGCTTTCTGCTTCCGTACGTCCACGGGAACTCAGTATGAAGCTGACTCTTCCTTCATAGTGCGATGCCTTAATCGCAGCCGGTCTTTCGAGCAGTGTCTTTTTCCCGACGGACGCCAAGTACAAATCCAGCATCAGCTCCTACTGGTCCGGGACTGTCCAGCAAATCCGACCCTGGTGCATCATCCAGCCTGCGAACACTGTAGAGGTCTCCAAAGCTGTGGCTGCTCTTGCCAAGACGAGTCCGGCTGGTAATTGGGACATTGGCGTCCGAGGTGGTGGTCACTCTCACTTTGGGTCCAATAACGTCGCTCAAGGTGTGACGATTGACTTGAGCCTACTCAACAGCACAGTCTACAAGAACTGCAGCGTGAGTGGCCCAGATCGTAACGCGGACGAGATCAGTCACTGACATGTTGATTTTCAGGGCATTGTTCGCATTGGGGGCGGCTCGCGGTGGTCCGGCGTCTTCCATGAAATTGAAAAGTATGGCCGCACTGCGACGGGTGGCCGCGAGGGCAACGTCGGCGTCGGTGGCTTATCTCTCGGCGGAGGTGCCTCCTTCCACACTGGCAAGCGTGGCTTCACGTGCGACGACATTGTGAACTATGAAGTTGTGCTTGCGGATGGCACGATCGCCAACGCCAATGCTGGGGAGAATCCAGATCTTTACAGAGCCTTGAAAGGCGGAGGTAACAACTTTGGCATCGTCACGCGCTTTGACTTGCAAACCTTTGAAGACGCAAAGGGCGGGCTTTACGGCGGTCTATTGTTCTTGACCTACGATAACCGGGACGCTATTCTGGCTCAATTCTCAAGGCTTGTTGAGATCAACCACGATCACCCCGAGGACACAGAAGTCGTTACCTTCACCTACGGCGGGTCGGGCGCACCCATGATTGCTGTCGTCGCCATTAACACGGCTGGCGTGGAGAATTCAACCTCGTTCGCTCCGCTGAATCGGTTGACGCCTGTGCTAGATGACCGCAGCAGGAAGACGTATGGCAAGGTTATCACGGACTTTGCCACTCCCGGGGGTGCCAGGTATGTGTTCAATAAGCTTCAGGTGCGGTTGCGCTGTTTGACTGACAAATCGCAGGAGCGTCTGGTTCTCTATCTGCTTCCAGAACAACATGGATGTCCTGAACAAGATGTCTGCGCTTTACGATGCCTTTGTGGCTGACTTGACGAGCTTGTGGCCCGAACTCGGCATCGCCTTTGTCATCCAGCCTCTTCCCAAGCACTTCGCCAACAGGGGGAATGGTAATAACGTCCTTGGCCTGAAGAAGTCTCTGACACACGACTCGATTGTCTGGCTCGGTCAGGTTTCCATGCAGACTCTCGAGCAGGAGTCCGTGGCCTTTGCGAAGCTCGCTGCGTTGACGGCTGAGCTTGAGGCCTACGCCGAGTCGAAGGACGCTTCAACTGCGTGGAGGTACCTTAACTATGTCAATCCAGCTCAAGATCCCCTGTCGACGTATGGTGAGGAGAATGTTCAGTTCCTGAAGAAAGTGGCGGCTGAATATGATCCGAAGGGATTCTTTCAGACAAGGGTCTCTGGAGGGTTCAAAATCTCACGCGTGCAGTGAGAACCAGGTTTCTCACGGTGCGTCATGAGTAGACAGCGTTCCGGTAGTTGTATCACATTCTTGTGTCCATCAGATACATGTGCATGACTTTGGCAAGCCCTAGAATGACTGCCGTGCGGGGGTTGCTACTCTGCGAATTCACCAAACTGCTTGGTGCTGCATAGCAGCTGCGTCGGCATTTGACAAATTACATT